GAGAATGGTGGAAGCAATTAACATTTTTTATAAGATGTTGGAAACCAAGTGTATTCCAGATGAAATAACTATTAATTCTTTGATATCTTGCCTTCTGAAGGCTGGAAGGCCTGATGAAGCCTCTCAAATCAAGCAAGCTGCTTTCGAAAACCTGAACTTCGACTTGTTATCGTTGAAGAATCCACTTACAAGAAAATCTTCATGTGTGCCAGTTGCTATTTGATAAGGTCTGTTGTGGAAGTGGACTAATAATTTTTTTGGCCTGAAACGATTTGGAAACACTCTCTTCTTCTGCGCCAAATCACAAGAAAAGCAAGTGAAGGAAGTAGCCTAACAGACGGTTAGTACATTTACGATGACTCTAGTTTCTCGAGACTGAATGTGAATGGTACCTATGGTGGTAATAATGGTACCTATGGTGTTTTTTTTTTACTTTCATTTTGTTGGAGAACCAGTATTTCTTCCCTTCATTTGTTCTATTCCGTTTGGTAGGCGCACTCAATGTAGACTAGAAATGATAGACACCAAGATTTCTTCTTTTTGCTTATAAAAGGATCTTGAGCGTACAGTGAGTTGAGAAATACATAGGGAGAGGGAGATACATAGGATAAAACTATCAAAATAGATCCTGTGATATCCCACGTTGGTGGAAGAGGAGAACGAAACACCAAGGGTGTGGAAACCTTTCTCTAACAGATGCGGGGAAGCCTGAAAAGAAAAATCCAAAGAGGACAATATCTGCGAGCGGTGGGCTTAGGCCATTACAGATCCTTTCTTTCATTATCATTGCTGTGCGAGTTATTAATGTTTCTGTTGCTTATTTGGACTTGCAGGCCAGTAGTAGTTGGAGTTACTCCTTGAAGGGTTTAAACCTCGCTGTCGGAATCCAACAATAATGGCTGCCATGCAGTTTGTTTGAACACGCAGATCAAAGGTCAAACCTTCGGATTTATAGCACTTGATCTCACACTGTTTTCATGATTTCTATCATTGTTGGTGATTCTGGGTTAGTGATAGGGTTAGTGACTTGAAGAAATGCAGATGAGCACAGGCCCTCCCATTCTTTAATCCTGTGGTTTAAGAGAGGAAAACAATGTTGGGGTTGACAGAGGCTTTTGGTCATGTACAGGACATCATTTCCTTTTGCCTTCTAAAATTATGTAAAATAAATACAAGGATTATCTTTGAACACAAGTATTAACGGGGTGGTGTTATGGCCCGTTTTGAATGAGATTTCATGTTAAAGATGTCCATTTAAACTGTCGGGACTAAAAGTACAGAAAATTATTGTTAAACGGAGAATGGGATAGGAAATGGGGATAGCTTTCTATCTATTAGCTAGACGGGGTTGGAGATGGAAGTTACATTGCTCGTTACCAACCCCAACCTTGTGAAAATGAGAACGCAAAAATGGCGTGGATGTAAGTCAAATTTGAAGCCAATGTGAGAGCGAAATATTTAGGGTGAATGTAATGGAAATCAAAAGGCAGAAGGGTTCCTTTTGTTGACCGTGGAAGTGGTGGCGGCGGCGGCAAACAGACGGATATGTTGATGCCTCTACCGCCGTTTGAGACCGTTCTTCAGTCGCTGCCCAACTCAAACGCGTTAATCTTCGTCTACTCAATTACTAATTAATTAATCTTTTAATCTTTTATTTAAATGCTATAAAATGGAATGAGTGAAAAAGTATCAGTGTTTTTTGTTTTTACTTCTATGAAGAAATGCTAGCTGTCCCTCCAATATACATTATTTTCAAATTTTTTATAAACGTTCTAAAATTACCTTCAAAAATAGAAAATTCTTAAATACAGTGGATAAAAATTGATTTTTTTTTCCTGAATTATTTTTCTATTTTATTATTATTAAAAAGGTAATTTTGAATGCTTTGAGTAAAAATTTATGGAATGTTCCAATTCCCAAAAACATCGATGTAATTAGGGAGAGTTTATGGTCGTCAAAGTATAGGTTCTCCGTTCACGCGTTTTTACAAATTTAAATGCCAAAAAAGCAAATATTTTATTTAAAAAAATAGATTGACAATAATGCCCCTTGACTTTGAATGGACGACGACGTCCAATCCCAGGCCCACCCCCCTCACCCACTACACTCCTGTTCTTCACAGCATAAGAAGATTCCTTTCTATCTGCCTGAAACTATTTATCACCCCAAATTCAAATAATGGATCAAAATAACTCATATTAATAATAATTCTTATTATTAACTTGATAACAAAATAAAGAAATTCAAAACAAAAAATGGAGAAAATGATGTGAAAAACTCAAAGCCGAAAAAAGAATGTATGGAGTGCTTGAAATAAGCACGTGGACGGAGCAGTTGATATGTGATACAGGGTGGATTTATTGTACTAAAAAAAATTAATAATATTTTTTTAAGAAAAATGTTGGGTCTATAATATAAATTAATATATGATTTGGTGATTACCTGTTTCCTCTCGGCCCTGATAATTGAACAAACAAGAAAGTAGAAGCCTATAGGAAGGGGAAAGGATCTGTGAATGGCGGTGAAGAAAATGAAGTGGAGATCCATTTTCTCCAGCTGCTGCGAGGTGGAGTCGCCGTCGTCGTCGGAGGTCATCAAACCGGTGGCGCCGAGTAAGCCCGGTTCCTTTGGAAGGATTCCCAAACTGGATTTAACCAACCCTAACTCCACCCTCTCTGAGGACCTCTCTATCTCTCTCGCCGGATCTGACATCCACGCCTTCTCCCTCGCCGAGTTGAAGCTCGTCTCTCAGTCATTTTCCTCCTCCAACTTCCTCGGAGAGGGTGGCTTCGGCCCTGTCTACAAAGGCTTTATCGATGATACTCTTAGACCTGGCTTGCTCCCTCAGCCCGTCGCTATTAAACTCCTCGATTTGGATGGAACCCAAGGCCACAGGGAGTGGCTGGTACGTCCTCGATTTGATTGGAACTCAATTCTATTCAATTCAATTCAATTTTTAATGATTTCAATTGTATTCTATGGCAGACGGAGGTGATTTTCCTAGGGCAACTTAAGCACGCCCATCTCGTCAAGCTGATTGGTTATTGCTGCGAAGACGAACACCGGATGCTTGTCTATGAGTATATGCCCAGAGGAAGCTTGGAGAATCAGCTTTTCAAAAGTACGGAATGCAATCCATTACCTTCGCATTTCTTCTCTTTTTTTTTTTTTTTCCCTCAAATTGAGCGAAGTTTGATCAAGATCAATGCGTTGGTTGGTGTGCGCAGAATATTCGATCCCATTGCCGTGGTCGACGAGAATGAAGATCGCTCTTGGAGCTGCGAAGGGTCTGGCGTTCCTCCACGAAGCAGATAAACCAGTAATTTACCGAGATTTCAAAGCTTCCAACATACTGCTCGATTCTGTAAGCAAGCCTGATGTTGATACTGATACTACTGATACTACTGATACTACTGATACTGATACCGAGAGGTTGCTATTGTGAATCCAATCCAGAATTGAATGTTGTTGGTGTTTCTGTATTTCAGGATTATACTGCGAAACTGTCTGATTTCGGTCTGGCCAAAGACGGTCCAGAAGGAGACAACACGCACGTCTCCACTCGAGTAATGGGCACGCATGGATATGCAGCGCCGGAGTATATAATGACTGGTAAGCACCGTATTGTATACTCCACCTAGATACATAGATCATGAACTTGTTGGTTAAGTTAGGTGTTTGAATTAATTATGATTCAGGGCATTTGACGGCGATGAGTGATGTATATAGCTTCGGAGTAGTGCTTTTGGAGCTGCTAACAGGGCGGAGGTCGGTGGAGAAGAGCAGCCGTAAGAGGCAGCAGAACTTGGCAGAATGGGCAAGGCCGATGCTGAACGATCCCAGGAAGCTAAGCCGTTTAATAGACCCGAGACTTGAAGGCCAATACTCTGAAATGGGATCTCAGAAAGCAGCCTCATTGGCGTACCAGTGCTTAAGCCACCGCCCAAAGCAGAGGCCCACCATGAGCGCCGTCGTGAAGGTATTAGAGCCACTCAAGGATTTCGATGACATTTCTGCAGGCACCTTCGTTTACACGGTTGTGTCCCAAGACGATGCCCGCAAGAAACGAACGGGAAATTGTAGTGCTGAAGAAGCCATTCCATCCACCTGAGGAGGATGAACAGCCGAATTCAATTGAAATGTGAATCATGAGGCGCTCAACTGTAGATACACAATTAGCAGAGGATTTGGTTGGTTTTTGTTTGAAATTAAAGCGCCGCCACTGGGTTTGTTCTTGTTGGCACTGGAAGGGATCATAGTTAATCGGCATGCCATGAGAGATGAGTTGCTTCAATTTCCTCCTCAACGCACGGATCTAGCGCATTAATTAGTTAATTAATTGAGTGTGGTGTGCTGTTCTGTGCTGTGTTATAATACAAGATTTTTAAACAAGAAGAAAAAAAAAAAAAAAAAGACCCATTCAAATCAACAATTCTCCCTTCCCCTCCATCCCATCATTGAATTCTAATGCGTCCACATCGCCAAATACAGCGAAGCAGCTTTGACTTGGAAAAATTACTCTAAAACAAAGAAAAGAGAAAACCTCATCTAAAACCGCCCATCTATTTCTCAAAGGTGATGAGCATGACTTCCACTTCGGTTGCCTTTATTTATTTATTTATTATATTTATTTTTTAACTTTTTGGATACGTCAAAGAGTGACATTTGTAAAGTTAAATACCCTTAAATGCAGGCATGGTTGTCGATAGAATTGTTTCGAGCAAAACACTCTTATTCGAACGTGGTCTATTTAGAAGATATGATTGTAATGGTGAAATTAGCGATCTGAAGTTGCATCTTGTTGCCCAACTACAGTTTACCCAGAGGATTAAATGGCAGGCAACTTGAATATTATGTCATCATCTGTACTTGAAAAGTGTTTCATGCATCTGTGTAAGGCTAAGCAGGAAAGCCGTTTCAGTGTGTGGCTTAAGAAAGAGGTCTCAATTTTGAACTGAGCAAGTTGCATTACCAAATAATGGTGTGCTGTGAAAGGGTTAAGTCTTGAATATTATTGATTTCATTCATCCAGAAACGGCCTCTACAATCAACTAATACTGTTTTGGTAAAAAAAATTGATTATTATGATATTGCAGTGGCAGTGGCAGTGGCATGGGACCGCCCCTTCCTTCTCAAACTGACGCTTTTATGGACCTGAGCTGACCCTCTCCCAGTTTGTGCAGGCGAGGAGCTTAGGATGCTTCCTTCTTCTCACTGTTGTTGCAGTTACAGTTACAGCTCAGTTGCTAAGCATTTTTGTCTCGCCCACTAACTTCCTCAGCGAACACTGTACCTTAGTTTTTACATTCTCGGGACTGCTTCACATTCCCTAACTGAACTGCTCGAAGCTTCCCAAAGAGATACAGATAAACTAAGGGAGTGAGCAGTGGTCTCTGGCTAGCAACACAAATGGCATGGATTACAGCAGCAATTTCCAGTACACCCACACCCACAACAGCCTCTGCTGCTGCTACCAAAACAGCAACAAGGTTGTATTTTTGGACATTTTCCTAATGAGCATTTGCATTTGCATTTGCATTCACAGCAAGGGCATTCAAGGCAGGAGCAGGAAGGTAATGAACAACCGCTACAACATTGGCTGCATGAGACGGTTGGACAACAGCACGAGCATCCGGGTAGCGTTGGACAACAGCACGAGCATCGGGGTAGCGTTGGACAAGTGAAACAATTCCCACACTGCCCACACCCGCTGCAACACTGCCACTTGGGTAATTTACAGCTGCCACACGATAGGCATTTACATGGATTATTACAGTTGCAGCAGGGTGGGATTTCAAGATGGATCGAGCATCCAGCATAACAGCAACAGCAAATCCAGGATAATTTACAACAGGGGAATCCACTGCATCAAGTGAGAACTAATGTGAGTCAAATGCACTAGACAATACCCTGACTACGCAGAATGCAGAGAACAGATCTGAGTCAATTAGCAATGGAAATAAGGGAAGTCCAGATCTGGTCTACTAGTATTCGATTTGGTTAGTATCTTCATAGTTTCCAAACACAAAAGACCCACCTATAGTCTAATTAAAGATTCATCTTAACCTAAGCACTGAAAGATAAGGCGAATCATACCAGAGCCATTTCCAAAATTGACATCTGCGGCGATGCTTCTTGTATCTGATTAAAAGAAGAAATATATAGCGTGAATGATTAGCTACAAAGACTTTCAGAAAATTAAAATGATGAGGAACCCCTTACGTTGGTATCAAGGGATCTGAGTTGGCGATCACATGGTCAGCTACCCTGCAAAGTGAAAAAAGAGAGCACAAATCAACTAAACGGTAGCTAACTGGAAGAGCAAACAACCCAATTTATTCCGAAGGTATACATACTCTTTGCAGCATCTAGAAGCAGGTGGAAGGCCTTCGGTAGACTTCAATTCTTCCTGCTCCAGAAACATTGTGAAGGAAAGCTTGTTAATTTTTCATAATGAATCGGGAAATTAGGAGAAAGCAATGCAGGAAACAATCCCAAATGATTACAATGGGCTTCCTCATGTAATCAAAACTCAACCCAAATTTGAAAAGGTATCGATAATCCCGTAGGTGGTGTTCTGTTCCCATACTTTCGTCCTTAAACTTTGTAGGAAAGATGTGTTAAGGTATCCAATACACTGGAACAAGAGCTCAAATGTTAAAGGGAAAAGAACAAAAATGTAAATATCTACATTAGATCTTCAGCGGAAACCTTTTAGAAGAAAAGAACAAGAGACAAAATCAAAGGGGTAAATTATTTGGTGATAATTGATTTGGGATAAAAGTGCAAATAAGCACTACTTTTGATTTGTAACATGTTGAGAGCTCAAAACATGGAACGGTGAAGTGTGACTTGAAGGATGTCCCACCCCCAACACACGCAGACAATATAAGGGGCAAATCCCGGAAAGTCTCCAAAACCAACAATGGGGATCTGTCAATTTCGCTCCCTATGCGCCGAAGCTAAGCATAAGATCACCCACGTCGAAATGTAGGCAATATAGATAGCTAGCACCTTTCAAGTCTGTCAAAGAATACGTCTAGGAAGGACTTAGCTTGAATTACAGCAGAGGGGATGCTGGTTAAAATTTATGAAGTGGGGAGGAATCCAAGACTTGGGTTTCAATTGGGTTGTGAAGAAGAAGAAGAAGAAGATGATTCAGGGTGAGGAAAGAAAGGGGATTCGCATGCATCGAAACTTAAAAAGAAAGAAAAAGCAGAGAAAAATGAAATGTACCTCGAGGAAACCAATCTCCCTCTCGAGCATCTGAACCTTGGCAGCTTGTCGGCGCTTTCCATACAAATCTGGATACTGAGGAGGCGACTTGGGATATGGGGGCGGGAGAGATGGAATTGAAGAAGAGGAAGCTGGGCGAGTAGGAGTAGCCATTGGGGGAAGCAAGGAAGAGTGCAGGAGGTGAATTACAGAAATGGGAAAGCAAGCAGTGACAGGGCACAAATCAAGTAAACATAAGGGAAAGAGAATAGTGTGTTGTCACTTCTGGTACCAAGTACAGTTATGAAACACCAGAAGTTGCAGTAGAGAAAATAGTGAGAAGCGGAAAATGATGGATGGAGCTGTACGAAGGGGAAGCAAATTAAGAAAAGATAGTGAGGAGGAGGGGGGGGGGGGGNGGGGGGGGGGGGGGGGGGGGGGGGGGGGGGGGGGGGGGGGGGGGGGGGGGGGGGGGGGGGGGGGGGGGGGGGGGGGGGGGGGGGGGGGGGGGCGGTAAATAAGACGCCCTGACACGGACAGATTACGAGTGAGGCAAAAGAAAGAACAGGCTCCTACACCCCATGATAAAATGGAGCTTCATTTGAAATGGGGTTGGAGGATGGGAGGTTAAAAGAGTAATAATAATGATGATGGGGTTCAAAAGAGGAAGATTGGTTGTAGGCAATAGGGAAAACAGAGGGGGGAGATGGAAAGGGGAAGAGGAGGAAAGGGAGGGAAATTACAGGTTTGACACTCATGGGAGGCAGTAATGGCAATGGTAATGGTAAAGGTGAAAAAGGCTGCTCTGAAATGGCCATATGGGAGTGTCTGTTTTGTACGAACCCATTTAGCAAAATTTAAGGCGTCTGTGATGAGTTTGAGTAGATGGAGTTGAAGGGGTGGGGGGAGAATTTTGGAGGAGTGAGAAGCCCATGTGGATGCGTGTGTGGATCTTTCAGTGATTTTTGTCTTTGCCTTCTCTGGGTCTCTGCCGCTGCCCCTGCGCTGGTGACTCACCACTCCACCCACTGCATTGCAGAGCAAAGAAAGCAAGAAAGAAAGAAAGAGAGAGAGCAAGAAAGAAGCGAAAAGCACGATGGAAGCAACCATCTCAGACCCCACGTGAGCACTACGTAGGAGAGAGACAGAGATATTCAAACACATAACTCTACACTCAACTTCACTTCAAACACATTCATTCACAAAGTTTTCAACCTAAGCACAACTCATTTTCTGTTTTTTTTTTTTTTTTTATATCATTAAAACAGATTCGGACTCTGTGCTCACAGCAAATCACCAGAAATAAAGCCTTTCCCGACATTGCTACTCTTCCTATACGTTTTGTTCTTCGTTTCGTTTTCTGGGCAACCTCTTCTTCTTCTTCTTCTTCTTCTTCTATATTCTTCCACTCTCCTTTGCCCAGCTTTCTTGTGGAAATTGCAAGCTCGAACAAGAAGAGGGAAAAGGGGCATGCCACAATCATTGGATACACAAACACCAGCTAATGTTTACCTTCCTCATTCCTTCAAAATAAGCATTGAAACTTTTGAGTTAAGTGAAGGAAGAGGTTACAAGGGTCCCAAGCATGAGTGCAGTTCAGAAAGATGGTCTTGAAAATAGAGAAATTTGTGTCCTTTTATACTCCTCCTTGTCCTACGTTATAATGCATGCCTAACAACTCCTTTGTTACTCAGGAATTAACAAAGAAACCAAACCTAAGAAACCACGCACACCCCCAACTTGAGAAAAAGAAAAGAAACAGGACCCCAGTTTCCATGGAAGGGCTATCCCCGTCGTTCTACAGAGGCGATTTCCGAACTGTAGAAGCGTCGGAACAGGGGAGTTTTATTTATTTGTTTATTTAGTGGTGGTGAGTGGTAGGTGGTGAGAGTGGGCTCGTGACAACGTAGGTGGGGTTCACCTCACACCCCGCTCTGCCACCATCACCGTTCACCAGACACAGCCACAGAGGACAGAGAGGGCAGAGGGCAGAGCGCAGAGCGCAGAGCGCAGTGGCAGGGTTTTCCATTTTTTTAAAAGCTCGAGGCACTGTTCCGCTTGTGGCCTCTGCTAACGTGAGCTGGTAAGCCTTTTCAATGATTGAGGTTCGAGACAGAATTTGATTTTGTATGAAACATAGAATAGAATAGAATAGAGTTTTGGGTGTTGCAGTTTACCTGTTTGATAAATTGACAAGCCACCCATTCCCCCGCTCTGGGCTTCCGCTTTTCCCAAACGGCCTTGCTTTGCTGCCTCTACCAATTTCGGCCTTCCAACAGTCGCCACCCACTCATTTGGGTCTTCTACTTCCATTTAACCCCAACTTTTCAGCCCCAACCAAAATACAAACCTTTAAATAATACATGATTTATCCACTAAATTATGCTCAACCCATTTACAATTAACTGAAGTAAAACAAAATTTAAAGATTATCCTTAATATAGATTGAATTTAAGGTGGATATTTGTTGGGAGAATTAGATAGAGCCACGTGGGTGATTTTGTTAGATTGAAGCGGGGAAAATCATCAAATTTATAATATTAATCGAAATTCAATAACAATAGTTACTATGATTGCAGAAGTTGTAGGCATTGATTTATACAGAAATAGGAATCTGGCGCCGCGTGTGATTGTCATGGCCGAAAGGGAAGCCACGTCTGGGGCGTCGAAGTCATGGGCACCGGCAGTGGGAGGCTTCCTGATAGCTTCCTTCGTCGGCGTGTGTCTCCAGATTATGTTCTTCTCGCCCATATCCCCAGATCCAGTTCTTGAATTGCCTTCTGCCAGCTCCTCCTTTCCTGCACTCAACAACGAGTTGCAGAAGCTAAGTAAACTGGGAGAGGGCTTTCTGAAGGGTCCGGAAGATGTTTGTGTGGATTCATCGGCAGGTATTGTATATACCGCTACCAGAGACGGCTGGATCAAGCGACTCCATCCCAACGGATCTTGGGAGAATTGGAAGAACACCCACTCCCAAACTCTGCTTGGACTCGCCCAATCCCCATCCAAGGACGGCGGAATCCTCGTTTGTGATACTCAAAAGGTATTCAGATTCATTTAATTTTCATGGAAGATGGAATCCCAGTTTATAATTTCATTTTCATGCGCGACAGGGCGTCCTTAAGGTGAAGGATGATGGGTTCTCTGTTATTGTTTCTTCACATGTGAACCAAACCAGAATTATAGGGTAATGAATGGGTTTATTTCTGGGGGCTTTAAAACAGCTGCTGAATAGTAACGATTGTTTGAATAATTAAACAGCTTTCCAGACGACGTGGTGGAGGCGGCAGATGGCAGCCTTTACTTCAGCGATGCAAGCGCTAAATTTGGACTGCACAATTGGTATTTGGACTTTCTGGAAGCGAAACCTCACGGTCGCCTCCTTAAGTACGACCCTTCCTCTAACCGAGTATCCACCCTTCTCGATGGTCTCCGTTTTGCCAACGGCGTTGCTCTCTCCGCAGACCAACGCTATGTGGTCGTCTGCGAAAGCTTCAAGTAAGTACTCTTGCAGTCGTCTTACTTGGTTACAGCATGGAATGTCCTATAAACGATGCGTTTCTGAATGGTAGATATAGATGCGTCAAGTATTGGTTGAAGGGGGAGAAGGAAGGGGAAACGGAAATATTGATCGACAATCTTCCGGGATCGCCAGACAACATAAACCTGGGTTCGGACGGGTCGTTTTGGATCGCTGTGATCCAGCCGGTTCGTGATGGGTGGGAGTGGTTTGTGAGGTGGAGGATGGGAAGGCACATTCTGGCGAGTTTTCCGAGTATGTATGAGCTGCTTGTCCGCGGCGTAGGGCAGAGAGCAACGGTGGTCAAAGTGGGGGCGGATGGGAGGATTGTTAGGAGACTGGACGATCCTGACGGGAAGGTTATCTCCTTCCTCACAAGCGCTGTTGAGTTTCGGGATCATCTCTACTTGGGAAGTCTCAAGGTCGACTTCCTCGGCAAGTTGCCCTTATCTTCTGCGCCACCCCACGTATCACATCTTTCATCATATCAGTAGTTAAGAATGTGGTGTCAGCTTGAGAGTCTTCACTCTTAGAATTTAGGTTCCTCTCGTAAAATTTTGGTATAATTCATTCGCATGCTTATCGAATGTGACTAAGATTCTTAATTTTATTTTTTATAGCCAAAAGTGTGTCACATTTTCAGCTGCATTTACACAGAAAAGGTTGAAGAAAAGAATGAAGAAGGGGGGGGGAAAGAACTAATTAAGAAATCCCAACCC